GGAAGTTTTTGGAACCCAGTGGTGGAAAGATTTGAGAAAAGGCTTGCCTCTTGGAAGAAAAATTGTTGCTATGGGGGGAAGGATCACATTGATTAGGTCAACCCTAACTAGTTTACCTGTTTATTTCCCGTTAGTTTTCAAGATCCCCACACAAGTTTCTAATAAGCTAGAGAAATTGATGAGGGACTTTCTGTGGGAGCTAGGGGAGGAAAAGGAGGAGCACAGGGTAGGTTGGGAAGTGGTGACTAGAAGCAAGAGGCAAGGTGGGCTGGGGATTGGGGATATTAAGAAAAGGAATATGGCATTATTAGGGAAATGGTTATGGAGGTTTCCATTAGAAAGGGATAAACTGTGGGCAAAGATAGTGGTTGCATTCATGGGCTAGAGAATAATGGCTGGGATCCGGGAATCCTGGCAAGGGCCACAAGCACTTCTCCTTGGAAAGCAATCCATAATCTCCTTCCAGTCTTCTCTCAATGGACCAGGTATGAATTGAATTCAGGTAACCATATTTAATTCAGGGAACAAACTTGGGTAGGGGATTCTCCTTTATCAAGCCAATTTCCATCATTGTATGCTCTCTCTGACCTTAAGAACGAGCCTATTTTTTTCCTTTCTAGCCCCTTCCGATGCTTCCTTTGGTTTTGGATGGAATTTGAATTTGAGAAGGGCTGTTAGGGACATTGACTTAGAAGAATCTATGTCCCTCCTGGCAATCCTTGAAAATGTGTTTCTGAACCTCCAAAAGGAAGACTGCAGAATATGGACCCCATCCCCCTCGGGCTCTTTCTCTTGTGCCTCTTTCTTTGAGTCCTTTTCTCAGCATCCTACTTCCCTTGGGATGCCTTTACCTGTTAAAGAAATTTGGTGCAAGCCTATTCCACCTCAGGTTGGGAGTTTTTGCTGGGTAGCCTTTTTGGAAAGAATAAACATTTGTGATCTTCTTCAAAGGAAAAGACCCAAGACTTGTTTTTCCCTGCACAGGTGTGTTCTTTGCAAAGCTGATGGAGAGACTGGGTACCACTTATTAGTGTCTTGTCATTATGCAACAACTATTTGGGCTTGGGCTTTGTCTATCTTTGTGTGTAGTTGGATCCCCCCTTCGAATGTATAGAGTTTATTTTCCCTCTCTTTTTTCAGTTGGCCTGCAAAGAGGGGTAGGATCATGTGGAGGAGTGTTAGGGCTGCTGTATGTTGGTCTTTGTGGGAAGAAAGAAACTCCAGAATCTTCTCAGAAAAGGAGAGGGAAGCTGAGAACTTAATGGAGATGATCCACTTAAGGGTAGTGCACTGGCTGAAATCCATGGATTTGTTTTCAGACTTTTTTGTGGATGTGTTGTTGAGAAATTGGAAAGAAATAGCAAAATCAGTCCAGGTCAAGAGGGTCATTAGTCCTTCTTGGATCCCCCCTTGGTATATAAAGTTAAAATTTGATGGCGGCAGCATTGGGAATCCAGGACAATCAAGAATTGGAGGGGTTTTCATAAATGAGGAAGGAAATACTATAGCCCTTTTATCTGGTCCAATTGGAGTGGGTGATTCTCTCAGGGCTGAGATATCAACAGCCCTGGAAGGGATCCAAAGAGCAAGAGAACTGGATATTAGGAGAATGATTCTTGAAGGAGATTCGGAGATAGTAGTAAGATGGTTAAAGGAAGACAAGCCTGGGTTGTGGAAATACAACAATGAGAGGAAAAAATTTAAGTGGCTGGCAAAGGATATTGAAGTTAAGTACGGCTGGGTTAAAAGAACTGCAAATGCCTTTGCTGATGGGCTAGCTAAGCAAGGGGTGTATAGGGCTTCATTGTTTTGGGCTTCTTTCTAATTCTGTTTTGTGCTTGTGGGGGAGTTAAGACAGTTTACCTCCCTCTGTTTGATTGTAAATCTGCCTAATTAATTCCAGTGAAATTCTGTTATTGATAAAAAAAAAAACAAAATTGAAGAGTTGGACAATAAGGAGGCGCAAGGATTATTTGAGGAAAGAGACAAAGAGCTAAGATAGTCCTTAAATAAAAAATTGGAGGATATCTTACTGAAAGAAGAAACCAGTTGGAGGCAAAACTCATTGAGATCAGAAAGGAGATTCTCCTTTGCATTGTCAGACTGGAAAATTTGAATTTCAGTCTGAAACTAGGTAAATATCATACATTGGAAATCTTTCACAAATCACAACCTTTGGAACTTCATCTCTAGAACAAAGTGGGTATATGCACACATTTCTGGAATAGTCATCAATAAGGGTAATAAAATACTTGTAGCCAATCTCAGAGGGTAAAGTAATAGGGCCCCAAACATCAGAATGAATAATATGAAAAGGAAATTCAGCTTTATTACACTTTGAAGAAAAAGGATTTCTACAATGTTTACTCAATTAGCAAATTTGACATTTCAATTCAGACATAGACACTGACTTAAACAAGTCTGAGAACAAAATTTTCAATGACTCAAAAGCCAAATGACCAAGACAATTATGCCATAAATAAACCTGACTCATATTGGACCAACTCTTAGACTTCTGTAGCTTCAAAACCAGCTTTATTCTGCAACACATAGAGACCATCGACCATACTTCTTCTACCAATCGTAGTCCCTGAAGTTAAATCTTGTATGACACTAGAGCACGGAAAGAAGATTACTGAGCAATTCAATGAATTTGTAATGCTACTAATGGAAAACCAGTTTATGGGAAGTTTAGGTACATGTAAAACATTTGAAAGAGTAAGGCCCAATGGGAGAGAAGACAATGGGACTGAAACAAATTGGACTTAACCGTCATATTGTCACAGGCCTGTGTCAGACCGTCACAATATGGTTTGATGCACCAGAGTCAATAACCCAGGGGGACTAAGGTAAGAGAGGATACATGGAAGGCTGTAGCAGAGTTACCTGATGTGGATGCAAAAGAATCCATCTGACAAAGTGTTCTACCATACAGCTCAAGATGATACAAAATGAGTTGATGATATCTTCCTTTGGATTAGAACCAGAAGGGTGGTCTTTGTTCAAAGTAGGACCTGAAGTTTGATGCTCTTGTTAAACCATATTTGCTGAATAGGCTTCTTATTCTGTTCTTGAACTGGTTTCTTACTCAATTCCCACCCACAGGCTTGACCTTGTTCAAATCTGATCATAATAACTTGAACATTTTTCTCACCAATTCTCTCCACCATCTTGTTAAGTAAGGCAAACTATTTAGGGAAAATTAGAGTTCAGTCCACCTCAGATTTTTAATAGGTTTTTGGGTTTTATTTACCAACAAGTCCACCAATGATTCGCTACCTCCCTTGAATTGTGATTTATTCCCCCCACCTTTTACTATTCCAACTGTACTAAAGGTTATGGGAGGACTGAACAATAAAAACCCCAATAATTTGTTAGCCATTTACATTACTTGAAGCATCAATTCTCTCTACGAACATTGTCCTGGCATGGATATAGACCAAACAATTTATAAGGGTTTGTTCTATCCTTCCTATCCATCCACCCATCAGACACAAGAGAGCACCCAGCTCTTTATGATGTTGTATGTTTTTGTGTAATCAACCTCCTTCAAGAAAGGAACCCACAATTCATAGTAACTTAGGATTTTTAATTCCAGTCCATATTTACTCTATTGCTTCCACCATTGCTTCAAAAATTTTCATCTGTTTGTTTGATTGTAAGTTGCTTACTTGGGGAATACATTTACCTGGGAAATACATTGCTTAAAAAAATTTCAGCCGTTTTTTTGCTATTTACTTATAAAAAAATACATTTACCTGGGTAAGTGTTCCTTAGGAAAGTGTTACCCGGGTAAGTACATTTACCTGTGTTCTCTTGCAGAGAAATGTTTGAGTAAATGAGAGAATTTCCTAAAAGATATAATTTTATTAATTTATTGCAGTCAAGTGTGGACATATATATAATCAGGTCGAGGGTGTTGGCCAGGCAGCCCTAAATGCTGCTGTTAGCCTGTTACTACCATGTAAAAACCTTGCTGGGGCCATCCCAGCCCATGGTCACCCCTAGGTTGATATAGTCCATTATCAACAGTAACTTACCCTTATTCATTCTTAATAGGATCGTGTAGTCTTAGTTTTGAATTGTTTATTGTGTTATTCAGTTTTAAAAGTTGTCTTTACATTCACTTTTTGTGTTTTGACATGGTTTTATTTTATCTGTTTTTCATCAATAGCATTTTATGTGCATTGAGTAAAAAATGAAGCAGCAAATATGCACAAGTTATCTGTTTGTTTTCTTTTTTGTTGCATCATACATTCAACTTTTCTAATATCACATGTTTTCATTGACATTTCTTTTCTTTCAATATTTTTTACTGATGAAAGCTATTTATTTAGGTTTTGTATGAATATTTTTTTTATCAGGTTACTTTTCAGGCCCTACATGGTTACTGGACAAAACCATGTGGCACTTTGTACTTTGTTTCAGTGTTTGACCATCTCTCCATTTTTTTCTTCCTCAACATAGTTTTTTTTTTTTTTTTTTTTTTTTTCTTTCAGGTCAAGATGAAAACTGAAAAGTTTATCATTCACATTACTTGGGTCCTTTTTAAGTTTTGGTCATTCTGAGGTTTCTGAGCGCTAAGCACTTCTAACAAATTTATGATGATCTGTAGACAAATTCTGATAAAAAATGGTTGCTGCCAAATTGGTATTGCAGTCCTCTCAATAGTGTTTTTTTTTTTTGAATAGGTAAAGTATGTTTCATTGATAATAAGAGGCTGTACATGAGAGTATGTACCAGAAGAAACTTTACACCCCACAAAAAAATCTACATCCAAAAAAGAAGAAAAAGTAACATTTTTAAATACAGAATGTAAAGAAGAAAAAACTTTATGCCTCCCTCAATAGTGTTATGTTTTGTTGTACTAGGAATCTAGGATTACTAGTCTTCTGTGAATAAAGCTGTCTTTAATTTTTCAATCATCTACTTATGAAACCATTATGGATATCTACCATAGCCTAATTGTTTATCTCTTTTATTTTCTTTCTGTCTTATAGGTCATTCCAAAATTTCATTTCTAATGCTGACCCTGAAACTCTTGCTTCTCTGAGTTCTGGAAATTCTGGAGGAATGTCCCCTGAAATGATTAAGACTGCCTCCAGTATGATCAGCAAGATGCCATCTGAAGAACTTCAGGGAATGCTCCAAATGGCTTCCTCTTTTCAAGGGTCAAGCCCGTATTTTCCTCAAGGGGAGAATTCAAGTTCTGGATCACTCCCACCAGGTGTATCGCCTGACATGCTTAAGGTTGCAACTGATATGATGAGTAAAATGTCACCAGACGAGCTCCAGAAAATGTTTCAACTTGCCTCTTCTTTGAAAGAGAAAGACTCAGTTACAACAGCAACAACAATGAAAAGTGACAGGCCAAGATCAGATAACACGTCAAAAGTCACAGCACCTACTAGACCTTCCTCTGTTAATGGGAATCACAATGTGGGAGAGAGTGGGTCAGCCTCAAATTTGGATATGGACTCTTCCCCTCAAAACTTCCCATCAACTGCTGATTTTCAAGAGCTGATGAGAAATTCAACGAAAGATCCAGCAATGCGGCAGGTATTTGTAGTAGATTTGTTCATTTATTTTTCTTTCCTTAGTAGAAACAGCCTTTTGTTCATATTATTATTATCGTTGTTGTTGTTGTTGTTGTTATTATTATTATTATTATTATTATTTTGAAATGTAAAAGAAATGTAATTACCCAATGTTGGTCGGTTGGTCCCAGCTATCTGGGGTCTTGGGAGGGTTAACACCAAGTAATGGTCCTTTGGTCCTTTTCTTTCTTTCTTTCTTTCTTATTCTTTTTTTGATATGTATATGGAGGATTAGCATTAAGGATAAAAATGAGTACATGAGAGGATGTGATGTAAGACTGATGTGATCCAAGGCTGGACTGATAACAAATTTGAGGGGAAATAAGTGATGATGCGAAAGGGTTAGGTCCAAGGTTTGGGGTTGAAGGGCTAGAGGTAGGTCTAGAGAATGGAGGGGGGATGGGGGTTTGTTAGGTCTATGGCTGTATGAAGTGATTAGAAAACTGGTTTAGTGCTGAATTTCCTGTAACATGAAGAAATTTCTAGAGCGAGAAAATAAGCAAGTAAACTTTTAAAGATTGGAATGAAATTTCCTCAAACTGTTTTAGAGTAAGGGTTAGGTAACTGAACCAAAGCAGGGGGTTGAAAATGGGGAGGCTTTAAGAAGGTTGGGCACAAAAAGATGAGAGTTCTCAAAATTAGATACCTTTCAGAATAAACTCCAACATTCATTACTCATGTTTTGCAACTTTACAACACAGGCTATCTAATGTCAGCCAAACTATCTAAATTAGAAAAACTCAAAATTATGTCATTCATAAACTAACTCAAAGAAAACTAAACTTTTAAACTACTTAATGACTCTGAAAGTCTAAATATGACTAAAGTCACTAAACCATGACTGGACAGGTCAAACTAATAGCTGAACCCTATAGGTACAAGTTAAAATGACCAAAATACCCATACTGTCCAATTTTGACTTTTCAGCTCCTGCATCAGGAAGTATAATACTATCTAAAAGTTATGATGCCTCCCTATTCTCTAAAGAAAGGGTGGTGAATCTGGGCTCCCCACCCTTTGGGCTTTTTTTCTTGTGCTTCTTTCTATAAGCCCTTGGCTCCTCCTCTACCTTCACCTCAGTTGTCTTTCCCTGTGAGAGAAGTTTAGGTTAAGCTTATTCTTTGAAAAGTTGGAGGACTTTGTTGGGAGGTATACCATGAAAGGATCAATATTATGGACTTGTTATGAAAGAAAAGACCAAATTGGTGTAGACTTTGTATGGCTAATGGTGGGTCTTGTTTTCATTTGCTAATTTCTTGTCCTTTTGTACTCATAAAAAAAATAAAAAAGAAAAAATTGTCCTTTTGTTACTAGTATTTGGGAAAAGCTTTCCTCTCTTTGTTTATAGGTGGGATGGAGCCCTATTGTATGGCAAGAGTAGAGTGTTCTATGCAGAGACTTTTGTATGGCCAATGACAAGAGGAAGGACTCTATGGAGGTGCACAAGGGCTGCACTAGAATGAACAATTTGGGAAGAAAGAAATGCAAGAATATTTAAGGATGGAAATGGAGAGGCAATCTTTGAATGCATAATGGCTAGGGCAATGCATTAGGTTAAATCTATCGATCTCTTCTCAACCTTTTCTCATGATGATTTATTGAGAAGGGGGGGAGGGGGATTGGCTGCGACGCTGCGTCCTCTTCAAAGAAACCAGAAGTTTGTATTCAATGGATGCCACCTGAGGAGAGCTTTATCAAGCTCAACTTTGATGAGAGTAGTGTAGGAAATCTGGGTCCATCAGGTGTGGGAGGAATGTTTAGAAATGCACAAGGCACATCATTGCTATGTTTTCAGGACCAATCGACTATGGGGATTCAATAAGGGCTGAGCTTCTTGCAGTACTTTATGGATTACAGTAGGCTAGAGTAATGAACGTCACAAAGTTAATCATTGAAGGTGATTCTAAAATTGTCATCGGGTGGTTAAAAAATAGTCAGAAAGCAGTATGGTATTATACAAATGAACTTAAATAGATTGAATGGCTGAAAAGGAGGCATGGTTATAGAGATACAATGGGTGAAAAGATCTGTAAGTGGGTCAGTTGATGCTTTAGCTAAGCAAGGGTTAATACAAGAACAAGCCAAATGTATTGGGTTAATTTGTAATTATTTTTAATACTGTTGCGGTAGGGTAGTACCGTAGTAGTTGCTACCCTACCAAAGGATTGCTTGTACTAATTACCTCACTTTTATTTATTTATTTATTTTTGATCAGCAAAGTTACCTCACTTTTAATTTCATTAATAGACCGTTTCAGTTACTTATCAAAAAAGGGTAATTGCAGATAGATGCACTGTACTTGGGAGGTAGTCTCACTTTAGGGCTTGAACTTTCAAATGTGCCATTTTAGTACCTTGAACTTCCAGAAATATACATTTAAATCCAACTCCATTAAACTAACAATACAGTAAGGGGGTAAGATTATGAAAGTGCCCATGTTCTGATACTCTTTTTTCACTGTTAATTTTCTATCTTTGGACTTTGGATGCAAACTAGAGTTGATAAAGACTCAACTTAAGTGCGCTTTGGCTGTAAATTATGGAAATTCTGCAGCTGGTTTGTGTCCAAAGTCTGAAGCTATAAGAAGATAAACAGTGAAAAAAGAGAAATAGAAATGGACATTTTCGTAATTTTACCTGTCACTGTAATGTTGGTTCAATGGAGTTGGACTTGAGTGTACATTTGTGGAAGTTTAGGTACTAAAGTGGCACATTTGAAAGTTCAGGCCCTAAAGTGAGACTATCCCCAAAGTGCAGGGTACTATCTGCAATTTACCCCAAAAAATGCTCCGACTGCAAAAATAGTTGTCTCACATCCAACATAGTTAAATTGTCTCCTATTGTGTTTTAAGTCTCTGAGAACTCAACAGGTTTAGACACACAAGCTAGAAAGATTGTATTTGACATATAATTATGATAGTGTGAAAATCTCCATTGCCTACTCTCTATCCTCCTACTCCATCAGATCTTGTTGCTGGTTTCCCTAATTTCCAAGTCAAGGTAGCCGTTTCTTTTTTCTTTTAAGATCTCTTCTTTGTTTCTAAAATCTTTTAATGCATGCAAATTGCAGATGTTTACATCAATGATAAAAAATATGAGCCCAGAGATGATGGCAAACATGAGTGAACAATTTGGAGTCAAGCTTTCACGGGAGGATGCAGAAAAGGCTCAAAAAGCAATGTCCTCCCTGTCACCGGAAGACTTAGATAGAATGGTATGTTCTTACTGTGCTTCATTACTGTTTCTTGATTTCAACAAAAAAATTACTATTTCTTGCTTTTTGTCTTGTGATTGAAAAAGACTTCATTTGGGGCTCCTTCCCTTTGTTTCTTGGAAAAGGGCATTTATCATTTTGGTGGTGCTAGTCCTTTATTGTATCCGTTCTCTTGATTTACCTGTAGTAACAATCATCTATTCTATAAAGGAGGACTACTAGCAATATGATGCACTTCATGGCATAGCATTTATTAATGTATTAAACACCAGAAATCCTATCTATCGAAAAAAACCCCCAGAAATTCCCATGCAGATGTATCTAATCATGGAATTCAAGGCATTTTTACTTGCTTCATCAGAAGCTCACTGTAGCTCTATCATTCCTCTCTGTAAAGAAAAAAGAAAAAGACTACTTAGCATAGTTGTCAAGGTGACGCCTAGGCGGGCGCCTAGACGACACCTAGGCGACAAGGCGCCCTTGGAGGCTCACCTTGCCTAGTCGCCAAGTAGTTTTGTGCACTATGTTATAAAATACTTTTATATTTTTAATTTTTTGACATTATAATTATAAAATAGGCATTATTAAATTAGAATACTCATTTTATGTGTTTWTGTACTAATTTCTTTTTATTATTTTCTTATTTGTTAGGGTTTAATCAACACAAACATTGCTAACTGCTGTATTGAACCCATGGTTCAAAGTATCGATACACCTCTGTGTATCGACAGAGGTGTATCAGTACTTATAACAATACTCCCCCAATTTTTTTTATTTCTTTGGTTTTCAATTTCATTTTAAATATATATATATATATATATATATATATATTATTTTAAAAAATGGATTCCCAAAAACACCTGTAAACATGTCATTGGGGCGCCAAAGATACAATACAATACACCTGGTACGGAGCATATCATAACGAAGTTTTGATCCTTGATTGAATCCTCAAAGATTTCAGAACTTGAACCAATTAGCAAGGGAAGAACTTAAATTTTTGTCTAATCAACACATTTTCTTCTCACAGATCTTCTTCTTCTTCCACCTTTTCTTTTCCTCTTTTCCTATAACAAAAGTAGGGGTTCAGCCCCTATATTTTTTGAAATTTCTTTCCTTTGTTCCTTTTTTTCTCATAAATTGCTGATTTTCTAAACTTAAAACATGAAATTTATACTTCTCTTATGAAAATTATGGATAATTATCAAGGAAAGATGGTTATGGAACCTAAGGAACTACCCTAGGATATATGGTTTTACTTGAAAAAAATCCATCGCCTAGGCATTGCCTAGGCGACTAGGCGACAAGGCGCCCCCCCTGTCGCCTAGCCTCGCCTTGGCACCTTAAAAACTATGCTACTTAGAAAAATGGCCCCGTTCCTGCTCAGAGGTGCAACATTGGCAGGTTGAGGTTAACCTAGCCTAGGCAGAGGTAAGAAATTAGAAATCCTCAGCCCTAACCCTGATGCAATCCTGGCCTCAACCAGTAGCCAAACCCAACCCAACCTGAGGCTAAAGCAGATAATCCTAATCTAGTCCACAACCATCAACTTCTGACTGTGAGCCCCAAGCATTTTATGACTGGTGTGGGGTGTTACCATTGGTTCCACAGCCTGCTACACAGCCTTTGCGCTCAGCTAATCTGAATTGTTTTATTTTATCATCAAACTAATTATCGTATACTTCACAAGGGAAAATGACTGAAAAAATATGAATGGAGATAGGTAGGAGAAATCAATCAATGTTCTACATAATATCCTAGATTTTGGGAGCATCCTCCCTGTCAACAACTATTCTTCCTTTTTCTTGGTGAACAAGGAGAGACCTCTGATTCTTGTCAACTTAGAAGGGTTTAATGCTAATATTGATGGTGGATTTGTTAAAATTTTGGTGATTCTTCAACATGTGGATCAGTTTAAGATAACCAAAGCTTCTCTCCTGGGTCTTGGAGGTTTTACAGATATACTGTATGTCGTTGTCCTTATGGATGGTTACTGCCCTCCTGTGTGTGTGTGTGTGTGTTGGCAGAGATCTATTGGAGTATTCAAATTGTAATGTGTTTGAGGAATGGGGTTATTTTAGGACAAAATCTTATATTCAAAGACTTAATTGAATTGATGTTGTCAAAATCTTATGATTTATGATATGATTCATGATTTGAATCATGAATACCAAAGGTTTCGATCTGAATCTTATGTCTAAATCCTTTTCTGCAAAAATCTTACGATTTATATTACTAATTGATCATTCAGTTTAAAATAAAACATATTAATAGGGTCTGTTTGATAATGGCTGGAATGGCTGAATTAAATGATAATGCTTTCTTTTTTAGTAGATAAAATAATTAACAATAAAATATTTGAGGGTTAGCAACCAACCAATTTCAGCTTCAGCCAATAAGGAGCTCACCTCTTTTTAATAATTTAATCACTTAAAGACAAAGCAATATGTCATTCAGTTCAGCCACTTCAGCTATTATCAAATAGCCTCTAAGATTAAGTTGACTTGAATGTTTGGATTTCCATTTGACAATTTAGTGCATTATTCACTAATTATTTATGATTATTTCTAATTAGTAATAAGTTAATGATTCACATGCATAAATAATTTGTTAAATTAACATCATACGAAATTATAATTGTTTAATGACTCTGCATGTTTTGGGTGTTTAATAATTTTATCATCATATTTACCATGTCTTGTGTATCCGGCTCCATATAGTTGGGAACTTGGGATAAGGCCTGGGTGATGATATAATGATGATGATTTAGGGTGTCTTAATGAATTTTTGTTAATTTGATAGTTCAATTCATCCATTAATGCACTATTGGTTTAAGTGTGTAACATCTACATGCCTCGTATGTTGATTGTAGTATATTTCTTAACGTAAACTATTAAAGTATGTGTTTCTGATGTGCTTATAAGTTATTACTTATTTAAAGCACTTTGAGCCTTAGATTTTAGTGTTGTTGATATGTTTGTAGGATTTATTATAGTTACAAGAATGTATCCATGTGTATCCCAATAAATCCTCCATATCCATGCATTTTCTAAATGCATCTTAATATGTAAACCTAAAATTTCCTTTGAACCTTGCTTGTTGGGTTCCAGTCGGCAGTTGCATTGGACTGCAATATGATGCTCAGGAATGGATTCAGGTTAAACTATTGGTAATGATAATGAAAATCATCATGAACATCTGACTATGCTGATCTTGGTGGCAGACCTCTATAGCCAGAAAGTACTGATTGGTGTGCTTCATCGTTGAATATGTCTAAAGCTGGATTGAGTGACATTTTCTGATTCAAATACATTATTTTTTTGGTTTTTGTTTTGTTTTTCTTTTTCCTTCTTTCAGATGCGATGGGCTGATAGAATACAAAAAGGAGTTGAAGGTGCAAAGAAAACGAAGAACTGGCTTTTGGGTAGGCCTGGAATGATCCTTGCATTATGCATGCTCATTTTAGCAGTCATCCTTCACTGGTTGGGCTTTATTGGCAGTTAGAAAGGGGCTCATCTTGTTCTGACATGTAAGATATCTGCAAACAAGGTCTCTACTAACTGGGCTACAAATGTTGGCACCAGATTGGTTTCTTCACTCAAGAAGAAAATAGTTAACTTTTCCTCTACGGGAGGTGTATGATGCAACAACCCAACTAGGTTCTCAATGATTTATTGAGCTAAGCTTGAGGGTGATAGGTATTTGAGAAGGGATTCTGACTTCTGAGTGGATAAAGATATCTACATTCTGTTCTTTTCGTATTGCAGCTCGTTTAATTCTTCATTCTTTTGGACTATTTGATGCTTCTTTGGAAGTCCTACTGATGAAGATTAAAGAAATGTTGCAGAAACTTCAGTGACAGGTGACTTGTTTTGTAATTTAAGAATCTCATTATTGGGCCTTTATCTTTTGAACCAAGGAAAAGAAAGTGGTATATAAACTGAGAAGTTGGCATTCCATGCTTTAGACCCTCAATTTTCTGAAGTTGCTTTGTATAATATATTATACTGATCGATTAGCCCGATTTATCCATTTGGAGCCTTAAAAGTTGTAAATCATATTTCAGAGATGGATTGGGCGGTCCTGTGGCTGTGATAATGGGACTTAACTTAAGTTGCCTTAATTTTGTAATTTTATGAAATACTGGCATAGAAAATAGAATAGAGTATGTTGGATAAGAGATTCAACCATGTCCGTTTCAGAGTCCGGATTCCAGATCCATATGTGCGTGGTTTTGATGTTGAAGTTAGATTTGAGTTGGTACTGCCGACTGCTATACCAGAATCAGACAACTTCATAGCAACTTGAAATTGAAACTGGAGCCTCCGACCCATTTGAACCTGTTGTTGACTTGCAAGGTATTGGATGTCGACCCGTGTAAACTTTATTGACCCGACCCTGTTTCATGGCTTAATGGGACATTTTGGTACACAGATGGAATTGGGATAAAGCAAACAATGGTACCAACCAATATAAAGAAATAATCCGACCAATTTTCCTTCCAATTACGGCATACTTAATATAAGCAAAATTCGATATCTAATCTGAGATCTGAATGGACCCGTAATAAAAAGGTTAAATTTATGATGTTTCAGATCTCATCTATGATTTTGTCTTGGTCTTGGGACCTTTATCTTATAAACAGAAAATGGGAATTGATATTTAGTGTCTAGTTTTTTGACAAGTCTGTAATGTCCAGTTAGTTAGCCAGATGAATGTTGGGGTTTAAGTTGGGAATTTGATTTAAAGAATTTTACACTAGGGCTTAACCTTTGGACTGAAACATTTCAAATTTTAACAAGTTTTGAAGTATCAATATGTATCATAGTGTGCATAGGATGTGTAATGGTTTTCAAGGTCACCAAATCACCCTTTTAAACATTAATATTGATCTTAATATATCTATGTTTGAATTATCAAAGTGAAAGAAAAGAGTATCGATGGTTGAAAACTCTAGATACACAATTTTTGTGTTCCGTAGTATTGAAACTTCCAACTATGATTTTAACAAATGCTCAACCCAAGCCTTCCCAAGTTACACCATTATATAAATGAGTTAATGAAAAAAAAAACACTTTTCCATAATCAAATTATCAAATATGCCAAATTGAGTTTGCCTTTCATTTAATGAAGTTAGAAGCTAGGAATGTTGTTTGTGTAAACATGTGATAAGAATGGTTTGAGGTTTTTGAAATATTTTATGAGTCACATGATGAGGTACTATTATCCTCCCCTCCTTGATTGATTCCAAATCGAGGGAAGATAAGCAATAAGAAAAAGTAATGCGGGAGTTCAAATCAGCCCTCCCACAAGATACTTCCTACAACATCCCACAGCACATCTTCGCCGTGTATTGGGAACATCTCCCAATAATAATAACAGAAATGATGAAGCATCATCGGGAGATGTTCCCAATACGCACCGGGGATGTGCTGTGGGGGGCTGATTTCAACTTGTAATGCAGAGGGAGGCCAAAATTATTTTTTCAAAAAAAGAGTTTCCTTATTTTTTTTTTCCAAAAAAGAGATGTGGTGTATTTTACCTAATAAAAAAATTTTGGCACAGATAAATTTTATGTAAAACAACACGGGTAAGTACACTTAACTGGGTAAGTGTTATCTGGGAAACATGTACTCAAGTAGTCAAGTAAGCACATTTACTTAGGTAGGTGAGGTGCCAGAAAATCAATGGGGCCAAATGAGGAACCATTCTGGTTCCATATCTCCTATAAAAAGGTATCTACAAACAGGTTATGTAGACCAATCATGAGTGAACTACTCAACCATTTATACAACTATTATATGTGCCAGTTAAGGGTATGTACAAATGGGCTGCAAATGGTATCTGCAAATTTGAATTAAGGGTGATCCGAATTTGATCTGTTTATAATTGGATTTAATATGGACCCACCCCTATATGATCTGATACAATTTGATTCAACTTGATATATATATATATATATATATAGTGTACTTTAAGCTCTCTCTAATGAGAGTTTGAGGGCTACCTGGAATAGAGTGAAAGTCACTAGCTAGAAGGAAAGTATAGTGGTATTTTATGGTCCTAAAAGTTAAAATGTTTGGTTTGATGCATTCCATCAATTTTAAGGCTTTTTGCATATTGGTCAAGCACGCAGCAAAGACCCATGTTCTCTTGTGAAAGGCGAGTCTTCCTTAAACCCTCTTCCCCATCCCTATCAACTGCATCCCTCCCCCTCTAAATACCCATTTCCCTTCCTTCCATTATCATGACTACTTCCTCAAGTTTCTCTTATGGTATGTTTGGTTTGAAGGAAAAAGTAGAGAAAGGAAGGGAAATGTAAGGAAACTTTTGTAAACCTTGTATACGTGATCCTACCTTTTCCTTCAAACCAAATATAGTTTTAAATTTGACAATTTCCTTAACCTGAATCCTTGCATGTTGTGGGCAAAGAAGGAGATGTGCTGCTTAAAGAAGAATGTGATAAATTTTTTTTTTATCTTTCACTTCCTTTCATATTGACCTCACAAGGTCATTGTAGTATGTGAGATCTTGGCAAGGAGTAGGCATTTACAGGACAAATCTTTGATAACTGAATTTATCGATGACTCTTATAGAGTTAAGTTTCCAACACAAGAGGAATGTGATCGAATTTTCTTGAGAGGACCTTGGATGGTTGAAGATGACTGTCCTTATGGAGAAAGTAGCATCGAATACTGCACCCCACTCTTATAAACAAAATTGGGTGGATTATCCTTTGTTGAGGATCCCTATGAAACCTATTCCCGAGGAGATAGAAAAGTGGAATAAATTCATAAGGCTGTGTTTGGTTGCAGTGCAATTTTATTTGCACTAGTACAAGTTCATGAGAATGTAAATGAAAAAAAAAAGGCAAATTCTGGTTTAATTTTATTTTGGGTTTTACTTTATTCTGCTTAATGTCTTAATTAATTTCATTTGTCCTGCAATCAAACAAAATAAGCTAAAATTTAAAAGAAAAATAGGTCAGAATTTACACTAAAATCATTTACACTGTCATAATTTTGCATCAATACCAATTTGTTTGTATTTCAACCAAACACAGCCCAAGTACCAAAGTATCTTGTTATTTTTATAAACCTCTAGCCAAAAAGGTTCAATATACACTTCTCAACAAACATCATTGCTGATTGCATGAGTTTTTCCTCTTCCTTCTCAGTTTGCAACTTCGGTCACGTGAATAGAATCTTCAACAAGGTTGCAACCCTGTCTAGTGAAATTAACTTGCTCAATTCAAAAATCTGAATTTGGTCATTTGAAGTTTTGAAGCGCAATTCCTTCACCATCATGGCCTTCCTTCTTAGTTAATTAATGGATGCTCTGATTTGTTTTAATTTGTTCTCAAGAAAAAGAAAGTTGGTTATTTTTACGAGAGAGTCATTGATTTAAGTTTCATTTAGAGGGTGTTTGGTTCTGTTTACGTTTATTCGGTAAACTTTTATTGGTGGTGTCACATAGGCGTCATCTCAGCATTTTCTCTCTTGCTATTCTGCATGCATTGAAAATGTAAAAAGTGAATTTTGGTTTTTATGCATGCCGGTCATTTGTGAAAATTATTTTTTAAAACTTCCACAAACGGCTAGGTGTTTATTCACTATTACAATGATGTGGCACCTAGTGGCACCTATTTGTCGTAAACGGTTGCAATTATTGTATTTCTCGGATTTACTAGCAAATAAACTACAAATGTTTATTCAATAAACATAAACGGAACCAAACACATACTTAATGTATTTTCAACATAATTTATTCATGATATATTGATATACAACACAAATGGCATTAATTCATTCTATTAATAATGATATTGATATATAATATTTTACATTTTTTAATTTAATTTATTGATGTTATTCAATATCCAATTGTTATTCAAATTCGTTTATTTATCAAAATTCATTGGCTTTGGAAACTGACGTGTTTTGGCTATGACAAGCAGGGGGACTCGGGGTAGCCATGGGCCCCCTAAGGTCTAGAAAATCCCCACTGTAATACAATTTTCCATGTAAATTTTCCCTCCCTCCACTCTCCATCCCAATGATTGCCCCCCTATGGCCCATTCATATTTATTCTCCCCCCTCCCCCTAATCCATTTAAGTTTTGGTCCCCTCATAAAAAATGCCGCGAGAGATATAACACCTGTCCCTAGATAAGAATCAAGTCTCACTATAATGAGAAAATAGAGGTTAAAACAAATATGAAAAAGATAGAGGAGGTTAGTGCCTCTTTTTAGAAAAAGAGGGACGTTAGTGTAATTTATCCAATAATAACATTTTGTAGGAAACTCGAGTATGGGGTCAGAGTTCTTGTAGCCCCAAATGTTTTTATCTCCAATCCTGCCATCTACCCCTTATTAAAAATCAGGCCCCGCAATCAAATGGGGCAAGAGAAGTTAAAAATATTTTTCAAAGGTAGAGGAGGTATTGGTGTAATTTTCCGAATGATATGTGGTTAGGATTGGCTAGTCTGTAGTGGTTGATGTGTTCGTCTCAAACACTCAAATTTGTCCTTGTTTTAAAACTTAGGTCCCAGTGTCCCACCATCAAATAGAACAAAGGAGGTAAGAAAACAATTTTAAAAAATAGAGGGGGATAATAAATTTCAATTTGAGAAAAAGAGGGGATATTGGTGTAATTTAACCAATAATTTGTAGGGAACTCTTGTATTTGGGGTCAGAAGATTTGTAGCATTAGATGTGTCCATCTGCAATGTTTTTAAGAATCAGGTCCCACCATCAAATAAGACAAGGGAGCTTAGGGAAGTCAATGACATAAAAGGAAAAATATATGATATCGAAAAGACATGGTATTGATACAGTTTTAAGTTTAACAAATGAAAGCACACCTGTGGAATGTGATGAACGATCACTTCTTTTATTTATTTATTTGCTTTAAAGGTTATACAACGGGTAACCCATCCCCAATTCAGATGCTGATAGGATTAAATACCAAGTCTCCGCTATATCCAACAAGAGGCATTACCAACCAGCTGATAGTGGTTGATTGCATGCATGTTTTTTATATATCATGTCTATCATATTCAAGCGTCACAAAATAATTAAATGACAAAATATTAATGATGGGCAATAGGGGGTATTTGTTGCAAAACAAAGTCTAGGGACTAAGGGGTGGTTGTCTGTAATTTATTATTAAGCAAGGGTATTAGCATAAATTACAAAATATATTTTGTAGGCAATTTATATTAGGGCTGAGCAAATGGGTAGGTTCTACCTAGAACCAAATGGAATCGACTTCGAACCGGCCTTGAATTGATTTCCAACTTGGTACATGATAGGTTTGGTTCTAAATTCTAAGGGTTTATCCTATCCGAACCAACCTTGGTTAGCCTTGGTGGAACTTGCCTTGGAACTGAACTTGCTTTGAAATAAACCCCAAAATACTTTTGGGGATGTAAAGATTTGAACCCAATTACTCATTGTTATGAAGGCTATGGTCTCACTTGACCATTAAGTTACTTAAGTTATTTGATCATTTATTTTCGTTTTAATATTTGAATGTATACAATAAGTAATGTAAAAGGTAATTGATGGTGCGTAATCTAGCTACTCCTAGTTGGAGGGCGATCCGAACTTCAAATGGGCGGCGAGCTGGATCAATCTACAAAACAATGGATCAGAGAACACATGGTAGCTAACCCAGCGAGGTCGCTCCGATGCTTAAGTCAGTACTTATGCTGTGAATGCGAACTGAATGCTTGAGAGCTTGAGTGCTAGTGAGTAGAATAATCATGCGTACCTTTGCCTTGAGATTTCAAGTCTTTATATACTGGAGTAGTCGTGGGCTTTACGAAAGAGCCCCGGGATCTCCGGGTTGTGGAGATAAGGTTGGTTCCGTTTTTGAATGAGAGCAGTATGTTGATAAGGTTTATCGTCTACCTCTGATTCAGGCGGAACCGGGATAATATTCTATATATTAAGTTAATTTAATCAATAAACATAATATAAGTTTTAAACTATATATTATATTTATTGAAAATCAAGTTTTTAAATAAAGTATTTTTTTTCTTTTGAAGGGGGAGAGTATAAAAAGAGCAGGTTCCGCTGGTAGATCCTAGAATTGACCTCTATAGGATAGGTTCCAATTCTAGGTTCTGCCATAGAATCAAACTGAGCCGACCCATGCTCACCCCTAACTTATACCAACATATGTCGGTGTTTAAGAATTGTTCCCACCATCAACAGGGTCTTACCTAAGTATGTGTTTGGTTTTGTGAGCATTTATAGATAGGGTGTGCTGTGGGGCATTGTGGGGCGTTGATGTGAACTCGTGTTTCAAATAATATCCCTATTAAATTATCTTCCACCTCAGCTTACAATGCTCCATCTAAGCGTGGGGTATGAAATTTCTCCCAACCCCCAATACATAAATCTAAACATTTATGCTTTTTAATATTTATTTAACAAACATTGAAACCAAACAGGGGTTTCATATACAATAAACGCCAATGCCCAAGTGTGCTGATGTGGCAATATTTAATAAACGCCCACGGTGCCAAAAGATTGCCTAAAACATTGCCTGTCTAATATGAATAACATATCTCCACCGTTCAATTAAGGGCTGTAAAATCAGACGATCAAAATCCACGGCAAATGCTAAGACGTTAGGAAGGACCTGTTCCGATGGTGGGCCACATCCTCGTGGAGTAAATTTTGGGGTTCAGGCCCAAGATTTGCATATTCTACGAAGAAGTGATTATTTTGGATCTGGGTGGATCCGAAATCACGTGGTCCCGCTCACGTGCGTAAAATCCGATGCCCGATGGAAATCCATATTCGGACTTCGGACTTCGGACTTGTGGGGGGTCCAGCCCATGACTGAAGGCTCGGAATTATGCTTCCGTAGATCATCAAATCATCCGATAGTTTTAACGGAAAACCCAACCGAAAAACCCCTGTAAAACCGACCGACTATCCGAAGGGGTGGAAGGCCTCATGCCAAATTACGGAAATGCTCACATGTTCTTTCACATTTTCGATAACGTATAAACTAAGTTTCCTTCTCGGAAGGGTTAGTTTAGTAATTTGGTTATCCATTTACACTAAACACAGTGGTTGGTTTTTACCAAAAAAAAAAAAATACAGTGGTTGGTGACGCATTAAAACAACAAATTTGTTTGTTAGTTTGCTTTTGATAAAAAACTCTTGGTGCTCTAAACTTCTAGTTGTTGTTTTCTCTGATTTTCGCTTTTCGTTCAATTTCTCATTTTTTTCCCTCAAAAATTTCAATCACATTACAAAATTTTCTTCAATCTGTTTCCCTGAAGATCGCCCGGTAAGGTTGTCTCTTCCATTCGAATTTTGTTTCATTTTGATTTGATTTATGTCTAATTCTCGATGCAAAATACAAGAAATGGTGTTTTCATTTTGATTTTCCTTGGTTTTGTGATCTCTTCGTGAAATGCGGGTTTAGATGGTGGAGTTCTCGCTCCATTTTCTGATATATTTATCTTCTTTTTCTGGATTATTTTCGTGTGGAATTGTTTTTTAGAATTCAAGTATCTGATGTTGTTGTGTAGAGGAATTTTTCTGCATTGTCTGTTTTTCTTTTTTAGATAAATTGGGATTAACGGGCTTGTTGGGTTTTACGTCCTGGAAATGGTGTATTTGAGAATGTTTCTCCGCGATTCTGTTGGTTTGGTTTTTTATCATTATTTTGTCTAATGGAGTTTGACATGTTTTTCTTCTGAAGGTGATATTCTTGTGTCAATTATTTTTTTAATTAGGAGATTTTTTTTGGGGAGATTTATAATTTTTTATATGGGTTGTTGGAATCTATAACCTTCTGAAAATCCCCATATCCAATGCCTGCTGGAAAAAAAGAAAGAAAGAAATTCAGTGGCATTGAATGTGCTTTTTGCACAGGGGCCACTATATGTAGAAAGAGAAATAAGCCTTGGAAACACAGATGCTGTTATTTTCATTGGTTTCTAGGGAACTTGGGAACACTATTACATGAAAGTATTTTTCATCAAACAGTTCTCTTAAAATCAAATGCATTTTATCACCGATATAATGTTTATTTTTTGTCTTTTTTTTCCAGATTTTATGCTTTGTTAGCTTGGGGGTTTGCGCCTCTTCCCTTTCTAGTGATTCCCTTGCTGTATTCTCCTCATTCATTCTAATAATTCGTTTGATCTTTGAGAGGTATTTGGATCAATAGAGTTACAAATTTATCCTATTTTTAATTTGACTATGAATAAGAAAAGTCAATATATTAATTTGACTGTGAATATATTAGGAGCTTTTATACCCGAATAGTTTTAGTTTTTTTATTTTCACAAAATGCTGTCTTGTGATATTTCTATGTTTGAGGTTAATCTTGTAATTGTAATAAAGCTGCTTTTTCCAATATAGGGTCAGGTATCTAGTGACTGGAGTTTGACCCGTTCTCACCTATCTGCTTGCCTAGCAAAATTGGAAGGAGAAGAAAAGAAAAATTAAGTTCATTATACTTATGATTATGACCAATTGAAAACCTGGAGACCTGAAATGTAATTGAAGATTACTTTTTTTCCTCAAATCTTGACTTTTTTTTTCCTAACAAAGTTCCACTGAATAAAAGAATCACCTTCATAGATTTTATGCTTATTCAGGAAACACATCTTTTAGCCAGAGCTCTTGGAAGATGAACTGGAACTTTTGGGTCTTCATTGGGGCTAAATAAATGTGAAAATACTATGAGACCCTGTGGTGGAGAAGTTTTGTGAATGCTGGTTGGTTGGAGGGAAGTGTACAAGGGGAAGGGCATTTTACTCTGTAGTACTCTTTCTAATTTTCCTTTTGTTATATCTTTAGTGATTCTCTGCTTCTGCCTTTTATTGGCCAATAATTTAGCAGAGGTATATTTTGAGTAGTTATGACTCAATGAGAGGAGGTTCTATTTGATTTACCGGAGGTGGATTTCCATCTCTAAGTGGAGAGGTTCATAGCTTGTACCTGTTAGAAATTATGAACAAAGAATTACTGAGTAAATGGTTTTTCAGGTTCAGGGTTTAAATGGCCATTCCAAATAAGCATTGTTGTAAGAAGCATGGATGGGAACTTACCTGCAGTTCAAACTCATCACTTGATTGGTTGGTGTGGACTGCGGAATCTTAAAAATTCTGTGATTTCAATAGGTTTATATCTTTCAAGATAGGACCTGGGCATAGTTTTCAAGGCGGCAAGGCGAGGCTAGGAGGCTGGGGGGCGCCTAGTCGCCTAGGCGTTGCCTAGGCAATGGATTTTTTATGTTAAAAACATAGATCCTAGGGTAGTTCCCTAGGTACCATAACCATATTTCTTTAATAATTATTCATGATTTTCATAGGAAAAGTATAAATTTCATATTAAAGTATAGAAAAT